TTTCGAACACAAACGCAAAATCCCAAGTCAGTTCTCCCACCGTATCACAAAACTGGCGACTCTGCTGGGGACATATTTTTAAAGTGGAGTAACCTTAGGGCTTAGATCACCTTTTTGCATGATTATTGTTTGCTTTGATTGCTTTACATTTTGATTCTCTTGTTTGGGCCTGAAATCCTCCACCCGGATTTGGGAAACATTCATAGATAGCAATACGTTGTGAAAACTGTGCGGGGTATACCGACACTGTTGAAGCAATAGCTATATTAGTGCGACATATTTGTGAGTACTGGTAGCCTTTGAGTCAATCAAAGAGAATATGGGGCCGATGAGTGATGTCATTAAGCACTAATGAACTAGAACCTTACTTTACCATCTTGGTCTTTTATTAGGGGTAGTGAGATGACCGACTTTGGTGCAGTCTGAAGTTGGTAGATACTCGATACTACACTCATTGAGGGTTGTTTTCTTGGAATATTTTGGTCGCTAGTTAAGTGGCTAAACCAAAACAACGAACATAGAAAACAATCCAATGATATTGAGCTCCTTAGAACCCAGTTACTATTTATAGGACAGGTTTTGAGCCAACTAAACTCAAGAGGGTACTTACCTATAAAACCTCGTGCAAGACTGAAACTAGGGTTTTGTGTGACTTGCTTGTACATGTGTTTGTGCATACATCATGAACACCATGAAGCATCATATGCATCCACTAACCATTTCAAGGGTTTGGATCTTCATCTTTGTTCTTGTTTTATAGGTCATGGAATCTCTTCGCAGGAAAACAATTCAAGTCAACCTTGTGAGGATTCCTCCTTAACTCAAGGAGCTTACTTCCAGGATTTCAGAGAATTCTCTCTTCAGTGAAAGACATGGTAGACTCCTCAACTTAGTCAACACCAGCATTGAAGAAGACATGGTGAAAGTTCTCTTCCAGTTCTTTGACCCCCTACACCACTGTTTCACATTCCCCGATTACCAGTAGTTGGTGCCTACTTTGGAGGAATTTTCTCAACTCCTGAGAATTCCTATTCTTAATCAACTACCCTACAACGGTACGGAAAAAGAACCAAGACCTGAAGATGTTGCTCAAGCATTACACTTGCAACCATCTGACATCAAGGGGCATTGGGAAACCAGGAGTGGTGTCAAGGGCTTCTTGGCAAAATTCTTGTTTGAGAAGGCACAAGAATGCTGGAATTCTCTTGATCTACAAGCCTTTGAAGAGATTGTGGCACTCCTTATTTATGGGTTGGTCTTGTTCCCAAACCCTGACCAACTTATAGATGTGAATGTTGTCAAGATTTTCTTGTCCAAGAATCTCATACCTACATTGCTTGGGGACATCCTACACTCATTTTACACACGAACAATGAGGAAAAGAGGTGTTCTCATGTGTTGTACTTCTCTCCTGGCAAGGTGGTTTATTTCTCACCTTCCACAATCAGTTTTGAAGAATGAGCAGGGTTTAAGGTGGTCACAACGGTTGATGACCCTCACACATTCTGATGTACATTGGTGTTCTCGGTCCAGAGAAAATGTCATCCATTGATCGTTGTGGTGAATTCCCTAATGTCTCATTGCTTAGCATTAGGGGAGGCATTACCTACAACCCCTGTCTAGCTTTGAGACAATTTGGATATGCACGGAGGGATGGCCCTCATGACATGCTGATTTCTAACCTAGTTTTTGACTTCGACAATGATGCGCAAGGACTTCGACAAAGGTTCATCAGAGCTTGGAGGATGCCTAACAAGGTGGATAGTAAGACACTGGGGCACAAGAATTCCATCCCCATTGAGCCTTACCTCAAGTGGGTACGAACCCGCTCTCAAAATCTTATGATGCCATATCCTCACATTCTCCCCTTGATTAAAGAGCCTGTTAAGGAAGGAGAGGTTCCATACACCATCCTACATCCTGACATGCCAACATTATACGGTTTGACCGACACAGCCACAACAACTTCATTGTGAAAGAGACAATCGACCACAACGAAGGTCTGCCAAGACAAGAATATAGGTTATACTACATTCTCGTTAGTGCGATTGTGGCAAATTTCAAGCCTTTCGTATGTCTTGCTCTTATGTCATTGCCGCTTGTGCTTATACCCATCAAGACGCGCTACAACTTCTGTCACACATTTACAAATCTGAAACGTTGCTCAACGTTTACAACAACAGCTTTCCTTTGGTAGCAAAACCAAATTATTGGCCTGCATACGACAGCGAAATAGTGTGGCACAATGACCAAATACGAAGGAACAAGAAGGGTCGTCCCAAAAGTAAGCGCATACAACTGAAATGGACGACCTTGACAAGCTGGAAAGAAAGTGTGATTTATGCTGTCAGGTCGGACACAATCGAAAAATTGTATGAATCGGGCGTCTGCCTCGACCACATAAAAATTGTAATACATAAAATCTTTCCTTAATTATGTTGTAAACATTAGGGTTTTTCGTTAACAGTATTTGCTACAATAAATATTGCGCGTACAAGAAAAAAAACACGATATTCCGTCTAGGAAATTACAACTGTTAAAACAATTTCATCTGACTCATGCATCATCAACATTACGTCGCTGTCTGTTTTGACTTCCTCCAACCATACATTAGGTCTTCCAGTCGCATGTGAGGTTGTTGTTTGTCTTCGTTGGATACTTCGAATTTTCCCCCCTCCACAATGTCTCCATCTAGCCATCGCATCAACTCCCGCTTCAGACGCTCCATGGAGTGAATGTTCCAGAATTTCATTTTCATCGCAGGTTTCGTAGCGGAGAAGATAACGTAACCATCTCTGATAAAAATCATGGGCGATGTCATGACGCAAATAACAGAATAAAAAATAAGAAAACAGTGCGAGAAAATGTGAGAAATGACGGAGAAACGGACGAATTATTTATAAAAACAGCATTTTGCCCTAGGAGCCAAGTGAGATGGCGCCTCCTCTCACTTTTAAAGAGCATGCGCCATCTCACTTGGCTAAAAGAGAGAGGAGGCGCCAAATGAGATGGCGCCTAGGACAAAAATGCTAGTGGAGGCGCCAAGTGAGATGGCGCCTAGGACAAAAATGCTAGTGGAGGCGCCAAGTGAGATGGCTCCTCCTTTGGGGAGTCATCTGAAACATGATTATTTGCGTAATTTTTTCTGAAACGTGGTTATTTGTGAAAAAAAATTTTAATACCTGGTTATTGGGAAAAAAAATTAAAATTAGATGCCATTTACAATAGTGGTTTGTCTAAATTCCGCAATGCTATAATAGTTTTATAAACCCTAAGCATCCAAAAGTTAATTCAGTTATTAATTGTTCCTGAATAAACTTGGGTAGCTTGTATAGACTCACAAAATTGTGAAATTGAGGATGATTGACCGAGTTAACACCATAATGAAAATTTTCCCATTACATGCCTAAAATGAGAGTGGTTCATTGTATTTTTAGAAGGCCCAAAATGCACCAACTGAATGAAAAGGGTCCATACTGCACTATACGTTAAACTAACAATTGTAGCACTCAACTCCATAGATGCATCTAACATCCCAACACGATCCCATAGCTCCAAACTAACCAAAGTCACGAAGCAGAAAATGTCAACAAACCTATTGTTGTAAGTTTGCAAGTAACCCAATAGGTCAATGAGGTGAGTGAATGCAACTCTATGAGCTGAAATCTAGCTTTATCAAGCTGAATCCAATTTAACAATCCTGCGATTTTTGAACTTATTATACTCTTTTTATGTAATAATATGTTGTCGGTCTATCTTGTAATTTGAGAATTTATCTCAATTTTAAATTGTGAATGCTATGTTTGTGAATTAGTTGGGTCTATGTATGAACTCATCTTAGTTTAGTTTATTAGTTAGTTGCTTCCCAAAATTTTAAATTTTGTTAAGATGATTTGCTTTAATGCGGAATTTTAGAATGGTGAATATTTACTATGCACATAGTAAACTGTGCTTGGACACCAATAAAGCCTCTAAGTTGAGTCCCACTGATTTTACAAGGTTATGTAGATTTTCAAGTTTGATAACTTCAGTTGTGATGTTAGTAGGGGAGCGAATCAAAATGAGATCCATGGGAGAGGAGAGGCATCAAATGTGATCATTGTTGCGGAAGAGTCCTAGTCTCTCAAATACCGGGGTAGAACTATCCATTGTATCTTCTGTCCTATCGTAGCCTCACTACCCCACTGGTTCAGAATTTTGGGAGTTAGTGTTCTTCAAAAAAAATCTATTCAATTAATTTTCTATTCCACTTTTTATCATTCTCAAACAAAATTGCATTATAATATCCTTGTTGTCGAATGCGGATGGCGGAGAGCCAAAATCCTACCATACCGGCCGCATTGCAGTGTCGTTATAGCATAAAACCCTGCAATATCGGTCGATAATTACTATTGCAGCGAGCCTAAAACCTGCCATGTATATCCGTCATAGGGACCATGGCGCCACAATGTGATAACACTAATTGCAAATACAAATAAATGTCTATGACAATGACGGATAATACCACTCCATGTATGATATCAATTTATACAAATAAACTACGGGTGCTTGGTATTGTATAGTTATTTTCAAACCAAAGCACCAGATTGGACATCAATTCCTGGGATTTCAAATCATATGTTTAGATATCAAATTTAAAATAAAAGCTATTCAATACAAACATAGAATACCCCCAAGTATAGAAATCGTAGATTCCTAGTAATCCAATTCAGTATTCCCAATTTCTCATGCTACTATCATTTGAAACATTGGCATCAAGGTTTCCTTAGTATGAAAATGTCTGTCTACAGTATATACACAAACCTCAAATGCAATAGAGATTTCTTGATTTCCATTACAACAAACCAACAAGTTTCATATTATCACTAGTTCTTCCTACATGCATGGCATAACAAAGAACAAAACCAATAAGTTTAAACAAACATTAGAACATGGAAATGCTACCTGAGACATTAGACAACAAAATCATGCAGGACGTGCTTCCTCGTTTGAACATTGCTTTAATTTTCGGTTCCATGTTGTCTCTCATCCAAAATTTGTTTCACGCAATCATCAGAACTCAATAATTCACTAGCCCTTCGATTAGTCACACCAAATTCACCACCAATCAAACACTTAGAACTCATTTTATTTACCGGCATCGAAGCCCATCCAATCAACTTCACACCTTCCTTCAAACTCAAACCCCCTTTCCCAACCTTAACCCTCGCATCCCTAAAAGGAACCAAACATTTCTCCCTAGCCAACCCAAAACACTTCTCTTTCGCCACCCTAAAACACTCCTCCATCTCGTGCACTTCACAAATCTCTCGTTCCTTCAAATCAGATAATTTGGGACCAGACAAAGCCTTCCACCAAGGAGCCTTGCACTTGCTGGAAGCATGGATGGCGCAACCGATCCTCGCCCCTTTCTCACATTGCTGAATGATTTTACGCTCGCAAGCTACGAATGAAGAGGCCCAAGCTTGTGAGTCTCGGAAGGCAAGAACGTAAGGACCCGCGGATGCATCGTCGGAAGGACTTGCCGGTATCGGTCCTCGAAGTAAGGGGATTGGGCGGTCGAATTTGAAAACGGTTGATGAAGGTGAGTAGTCGTCTTCAAAATTCGTGCGATCTTCGGATGCATCCATCGCCATTGTTAGGGTTAGGGTTTGAAAGGAATGTTTGCTTAATTGAGAGAAGAACTTGAGAAATAAATAGTGCAGCTTAAAGCTAAAGCAGAATGATTGAGAAAATCCGGCATCTAATAAAAGCAAGCAATTTGAATGAATGCTGATCGTGATAACACCGTAGCAGATGGCTACAGCCGCTGCTGCTTCAGACACGGTTTTGTGTTTCTATATCCTCGGAACCGTATCCGTTGTGGCGTCTTTCAAGAGGAGAGATAAACAGTGTCAAACAGCATGTAAGGCAATTTGAATGAGTTTTGATTTTTGGTTTTAAAATCTATTTTATAAATTTATTTCAAAGAAAAATGTTTTTAAAAAAATTGAAGAATTTAGAGAAAGTGTGAGCTTTTGGTGAATGGTTTCTTTATGGTCAAGTGTGAACTCTTCGCGTAGGGAGAAAATTATGTTAGAAAGTTCGTGGATGTTGTTTGACCATTATTTGGCAGTGGTTCGATGGACTCCAGACTTTGCATCTCCTCTTGCAAAAGTGAAGAAGACTCTGCTTTGGATTCTATTTTCAGGGCTTAACTTATTGTATTATGATGAAAGTATCTTTCTTGATTTGGCATCTGTTATGGGTACTCATGTTAAGGTAGATACTAATACCCTGAATGTATAGAGGGGGAGGTTTGTGAGAATTTGCATGAAGATTGATCTGACCTTGTCGTTTGTCACAAAGGTCAATGTTAATGGTCATTGGTACAACGTGCAATATGAAGGTCTCCACATTATTTGCTCTAATTGTAGTTGTTATGGACATCACACTTGTGATTGTAAGAAAACACCACATGATCTGACACGGACGGTCATTCCTACGGTGGCGCAACCAAGAGGTCTACCGAAAAACGATGATGTCTATGAGCAAAGACTAATAGAACTATATTATAAAGTGGACGATGATGGTGCCAAAATTGTAGCAAAAGATTTCAGAGAAATAAATACAGTTCATGATGATTGGCTGGTGGTGCAGAGGAAAAATCGCAACAAATGAGTCAGTTATGATCCACGAAAATTTGTATCCAATAATACACCTAGAGATCCAAGGAGTTCTAAAATCAAGGGGGTTAATGTTTCCTTAAAAGGAATAAGCGTAGACAACAAAATTGCTGGACTAAATCAACTTGATGCGGTTTCTAAGAAACAATGATTTGATAAGAGTGGATCCACTACAGATGCGCGCCAGCCATCAAGAAGAGGGGACTCACGTGCCAAGGTAAAATTTGCCATTTTGGAACCATGTCATGCTGTTAGTGGGTCTTGCACAAAACTGGGCCAACTTTTAATTTATGTCTGACACAACTGGATGTGCCTAACACTGTTAAATACACATTAATCGTTCACATAGTAAATTTGGGTTTGGAGACCATCACACGATATAACATTCCACATTTTAAATCGATAGCAAGTTAGACAGATGGAAATAACCAATGCCCTATGGATGAGGGTGCTACTCAAGAAGTGGAAGTTGTTCGTGAAACTATCATTGATGGGAGACTACTATGTAAATTATCTCGTGTCCAAGATTTGTTTTGTCACCTCCACCAACTTGACTAGTTATGCCAGGTTTCAAAGAAGTCATTGTGTTTTCCTATAATATTCAGACAGCCTCTAATAATAAGGCTAAAAGACACATGATAAATTTGATTAGAAAACACTCTCTAACTTTTTTAATCATTATGGAACACACACATTGGTTTTCATAAGACCAAGTCCTTTTAGGGGCATAGCTGGATTTGTAAGTGTTCACTATGTGGATGCACGTGGTTAATTCGAGGGCATTTGGGAGTTAAGGCATAATAGCATTAACATTGTAATTGTCGTGTATGATGTCTTTATATATACAATTACTATCAAGCTATCATTGGGAACTTCCTTTTGGTATGTAATTGGAATTTATGCTAGTCTTATATACACTTCTCGTCTTGACCTATGGCTTCACCTCATTGACCGGAGGAACACTATTGATGGTCTTTGGATGTTGACTGGCAACTTTAACGACATCATTCATCCAAGAGAACAAAAATGAGGTAATTAAAATCATTATTGGGCAATCTCTTTATTGAAAGTCATTGATAAATGTAGTTTATTTGAAGTAGACATGACTGGTGGGAAATTCACTTGGAATAGACCTTGTACTGGTAATCAAATATTCTATCGAAAGATGGATAAGGCCTTGGTAGACATTGCTAGGCGTATGACTTTCTTGATGCATATGTTGAGGTATTGTGTAAATTTCATTATGATCACAACCCAATTCTCCATAGGTGTGGTCTTCCTCTCCAAGACCATGGGTCACATCTATAAAACCCTTCTAATCCAACGGATAACTCACGAATTATTTATAAATAATTTAAACCCAAATCACCAACAAGGGTGTCACATGGTCATAGAAAACATCATAACAAACATCTTACTCTGTAACACAAGTTTTTAACAATTATAAATCAATTCCCTTTTCAGAATATTGATGGGTAAATTCCGCAAGTGCACGGAAATATCGAAGTAATATAAAAGATTGTCGAACCACAGAGACCAATGTCAACCTACCGTAATCTATCGTTACTTTGTAAAGCTAAGGCTAATGAATAATTGGATTTTTGGGAGAAATTAAGGACTAAAACTAAAAATGAATTTAGAAAATATAATAATAAAGAGAGACCGGAATATGGTTTCCGCGTTCCTGAAGGACTTATAGAAAATGGGTACTAATTACTGTAACACCCCTTCTAAATAACCCGCGAATATATTAATTAAATCAGAGTAACATGGAAAACAGGGATGTCACAATTTAAGATAAAACCTCAAATTTACAGTTGTCATGCTTTACTGAAGGAATTATTAAAATAAATATTCGAATCAACATCATGTTCTACACAGCGTAAATATCTCAAAACCGGAATAACTTCATTTCATAAGTATTCCCAACATAAATTAAATAATAGGGTATAAAATAAAACTCATCATTCAAACGTTTTCCCCAGTGTTACAACCTATCAGAGCACGACACTGACACGCGGACTTAAAATAACGTAGCTCTAGAGCCATCCTCACAAATTCCTGAGCTGCTAACTTTAATCTGAAATCATTAAAGTAAGGGTGAGATTTCTCATAATTAACATGCATTATAAATTTCTCAATCAACATTATATCACAAGCATATTATTTCACCCATTTTAGCATAAACTCCGATTCAACACACATTTCCAATCATACAAGCCATTATGCATAAATCAATAATCAACCAAAGAATTGTAACACTGGAAGACATCCTAACATGTTACAATTCCATGCAAACACAAATGCAGACACTATGCATGTGGTACCAACACGTGACCAAGTCACCCATCACTGATCTATCACACTCGGATACAGCAACCATTGATTCGTCCATCACACTCGGACATGAATCCAGCCGAAGCAATCATCGATTCATCCATAACACTCGGACACGAATCCAGCCTAACCACCCATCATCTCTCGGGTATCGGTTAACGGCAATACAAGTCAAATTCCATACAATGGGAATTAACTTCACCAAAACAATGCATATGCATGCACATCACCAGCATGCAACATCAAATCAGTCTATGAAATACATCAATTTATCATAACTGAACCAAAACCGAAAGAAGCATGATATCATTATTTATCATACACACATCAAACAGCATAAACATGCACTTCATCCACAAGGACCTGATACAATCAATTATCATGGATACACCATTGCATATACACCAAATATGCACATAATAACAAACCGCATAATCGGAAAGTCAACATCAAATCAACGGAATATGATCACAACATAATTCCAAATAATGGCAAAACCAATATATCACATGATCACATCTCAATCATAACGGATAGCAGGCACAACACATAAGTATCCGTTCTCCTTCACCAAATCAGAACAATTTACAAACAATTCTACATCGTTCTCAAAATATCAAAGTTTACAAAAATCGGGAATTCGACTCTTTTTAAAATAATTTTCATAAAACAATATTTTTATCATTTTATAAGATAGTATTTTTAATTTAAGAAATACTTCTGAAAACGGCACTCAAATCGGACTTACGGTTTGAAAGTTATGAATTTTCAAAGTTTAGTATTTTTCAAAAAGTTACATTTATGGAAAATGTACTGGAACCTGGTTCATACCTATACAGGAACCAGTTCCTACGTTGAAAAAGTCAGTTTCTTCACAAATTTACACTGGGAACCCAGTTCCTCCCCACTGGGAACCGGTTCCTGCGACCTGAAAAGTTAAAAACTGCTATTTTGGCAGCACTTATTCATTCCAATTCCATCCAATTCATACCCATACGAATCCAACTCACAGCAATATCAAAACAAGTTATAGTGCATGATTCCAATGAGATTATAACACACCATAACATCATATAATTCCCTCATAACATCAAATTGAATCAAAACATAAAATTCATGGGATTGGGGTTTGAATTTCATAAATCCTAAATTGGGATTCCTAACATATTGTTGTACCCCAAAATTTGCCCTCCCATATTCTTCAAGAAATTGCCAAGTCAAGCTGCAAAATTCTCCAAGGGTTACACAGTGCAAGGGTATCCTAAACAGTCAAAATTAGGGTTTTGGTTCTGATCAAGAAAATGAAGTTTCCAAGGGCCCAATCAAGTCCCACATGCCTATAAATATGGTCAAGCATCCTCATACAAAGTTTCAAGACTTTCAGCACAAGATTGCACAGTCAAAAACCCTAATTGCACTACATTCAACTGTAGGGGCAAAATGGTCATTTGACAGTCAAAAGTTCAAATTTTTGGTCAACATCTCATTTTGAAGCCACAAACATCATTTGATCAATGCTTGATCATGATTCTCAAAGCTTGGCTCAAAAATCATCAAGATGCAAAAGTTTCTATTTTTGGACAGTTGAAAAGTCAACTGTAACTTGACCAAGGCATAACTTTTTCATGGTTCATCAGAAAAATCCCATCCAATTCTCATCTTGAAGGGGGAGACATTTCCTACAACTCATCTTCACACTCCAGGTCCAAGAAATGCTCTCACAAAAAGTTATCAATTTCAACATTATAGGTCATTTTAAAAAGTCAACAAAAAGGGACTTTAAGTCAAAAACCATAACTTGAGATTGGTAAATCAAAATGACATGGGACCAAGGACATTGTTTAGAGGACTTCAAGACCTTTCTAAAATGTCCAAGAACATGATCAAAGCTTAAAAATTGAGCAAGATATGCATTGGAGAAGTTGGGAAATTTTTGTGAAATGGCCAAAATCATTTATCCTTGAAATTTCATTTTTGACAAAAGGGGCCCACTTTTTCCACTTGAATTAACTTGGCCATGCTTCCCACGTGTCCCACCTTTTATTTCATATTTTTTAATTAATTTTTTCATTTTTTATTGATTTTATTGGATTTAATTAATTTTAAATCTTTTAAAATCAAAAGAAAATCAAAAAGCTTAATTAAATGGAATATTTGGCCTTAACTAACTTTAACTTATCATTATGCAACTTACCAAATTCGTGCAAAAGGCTAATTGAAGCAAGAATTCAAAAATGAGTCAAAAAAGGAAGCTTGGTTATGGAGGTTTATGGAGGATCTTGAAATTGAAAGCTTTGCATTAAGAGGCCATAATTCCTCTTGATTCACATTGCCTAATGCCTATACAAGTGAGACAAAACGAAATTGGAAAGGGGCTGCGCATAAACACTCAAAAAGAAAACTCACATTTTTGGCCATTTTTTGAAAAACTGAAAACTGCTTTGGAGCATTGGTTGAGCCTCCATTTTGATCAAAACATATTCCTGAGTTCCCAAGAAAGCTCCAGCGATCAAAACCACACTCAAACGTGCAAGGAATCAGTCCCACCAAGCTACACGGTTTGTATATTTTTTTCAGAAATGCATAGCACGAATCATCCATTTCCATTGATTTTTATTGATTTATTTGAACTAACAATTGTCCTCTGAAGCTTTTGGT